TTACTAGTGACAGTCGGTTACTTTCTGAGCTCCTTGGCATCTGAGCATGGATATAAAGTCATCAGGTAGATTTCAATGGTAATGCTTCTCACATCTACTAATTATTATTTTTTAATCACTTTTAAAATTTTTAATAACTATATGACTAGAAGAAGCATTTCACTACAGCTTTAACATATTCAGTAACACACTCCAGAGCAAGAGTACATCTCTTTCACAAGTGGCTGCAAGTTTCTAGGTTCACAGTCAAATTAATACAGTAATACAATATTGAACTCAGTATAAGCCCTGTTAAGACATTAAATTGGATGAGTTTTTAACTTTTAAAAAAGATCTCCATTTCATTTTAGAATATATTGTTCCTTGCAGAAAGACTCATTGTTTTTGCTACTAACATTGAGATGTTGGCACATGCATCTCTAATCTGTATGTATCTGATTATTACCAGTCATAATTGGTTGCACTTGGATCCTTGGCACCTGTGTATGTCTATAAAGCCACTGGGTAGATTTCAATGGCAATGTTTATCACCTCTACTAATTAGCATGATGTAAATTTCCATGCTTCCTCCTCAAATATAGTACATTTACTCAAATGACCTCAAGAGTAAAAACAAATCAGCTTATCTGGTCCAGTTGTATGTCCTTAAACACCCAAAAGGGAAGTATAACCAAAGATTAAAGGGACCAATATAATTTCATAAGAGCATACATATATATAGCTAAAAGTTACTTGACAAACAGCAAAGCCAGACAGGCGATACCTTCAGTCGAGCTGTTGGCCAGGATGGATAAAGGCTCTTTCAGATAGTAACCCAACACACTACTGGAAAAATGAACAGCAGACCCCAATTCTATCCAAAGGAATACTGACAATGGATTGCCGTAGATGAGGAACAGCTGATCCTCCTGGAACAGGAACCTCTGGCTGACTAGATTTACCAGAAGGGCAGATAGGGGGGAATAGATGGGGGTCCTGACAACACAGTGGACAGTGACAGAGATGGCAGAGTATGGAT